GGGCTGTTAGCTTTGAGACATCCACCCAGACAGCACATGATATGCAAGGAGAGTCTGGATCCTGACTCTTGTCACAGGACACAGGCTCTGCTCTTGCATTACGTTACAAACCATGAAGTTCCATCACGARATATTTAAATGGAAGTCTTACACTGTCTTCAACTCCACCAGTGATAATGGAACTAAAGCAGAGGTTCAGCCAAGCCAAGAGGAAGCCCAAAGAGGCTTCCAAATTCAGACTCGGACACTGCTCCCACCTGAAGGAGGACAAAACAGTCCCTGAAGAAACACTTCAACTGTTAAAAGCCTTCCTTCCTCACAGATGGTGCCTTCATGCTGGTTCTTGTCCAGTGGCCAGCACTCCCCTCTTTGTTAATCCCAGCATTGCAGATTCATGTGGATACACATCAGCTTGCAGGAGAAAGGCCTCAGTGGGAATCACTGGTCCCTACATAATGCTGAGATAATCGACATTGAAAGGAGCTGAGCACAAAGTCTGTGAATGAAGGGGCTGCTCAGCTGGATCTCAGGTGCTGCTCAAGGAGAGCTCTTGTGACACAAAGAGAGCTGCTGTGATCACAGTYTGTGACTCCTCCACAGGTACTGGCTTCTCTAAAGCCTAATGACATATAATATTCTGCCCAATATACATCAGACTCTGAGTTCACTGAGAAAGGGACAATAATTTCYTCTTGAAGCAACTTTTTCCTCAAAAATCTTTCATGTCTTCCTGCAAAAATTCTAGCATCAAATCCAACATTTTTTATTTTAAGACACTTCAGCATACTCTATTAAGTGAAAAAAAAAAAACCAAAAAAAAAACCAGGAAGGTGAAATAAGTGCAGAATTCCCCACTTCACATGGCTTTCACAGTGTTTCCTAGTTGAGGACCTCACAGAAATCCATAACTGGCAAACTCATTCTCAAAAATGCAAGTTACTGAAGTTTTATAAACTCATTAAAAACATTATTGTTACAGTCACTCCCAATTTAAAATCAAAATGCTTAATCCAAATAGCTCAGCTCTCCCAATTGTTGCAAAAGATGCTTTCAGGTGCTCTTTTGCCATTAAACTAGAARTTTATTTTTAGACCTGAGCTTATTCAGACTGGTTAATCAGGTCCCATCATTCTCTTTTGGTAAGCTTTCATCTGCTTATTTAAAAAATCACATTTTCACATATTCCATTGAATABGAAATCCCACACAGCACTTTCAGGCTGAGGGGAATGGCTCAATGAAGGTAATTCCTATTTCCTCCTTACCTCTCAAGGGTATGTGCAAGTTGGTSCTGTCCTTTTGCACAGATCTGTGTGTACTGATCTCCTCTGAATGTCCTTTCTCAGGAAGGTTTTGCACCCTATTCTAGAGGCAAAACTTCCTAGTAGCAGAAGTACTCACTTATCTTCCCTTAAATCTCTCCAAAGCTCATACAGTACTATTTGGTATTTGTACTGCTCTGCTCACAGAGATTAACCCATTGAAACTCATTATGTTTGAATTCACACTACCAAAGGAATGCAGAAGTAATCATTGACTAACTGAAGAGTCGAGAACTCACACCTCTTAAAATGCATATTTTAGGATCCACGAAGATTGTTTATCAACAGAGAATCCTTCTGTGATCCTGGATTTGATTACGTGGTACAAATGTTTTTCCTCACCTCATTGCTTGCTCTGAAGTCCTGATTAAGCAACTGAGCAAATATGATGGACTCAAGTTGCACCAGAGAAGGTTTAGATCAGATGTTAGGAAAAATTTCTTCACTGAAGTGGTGGTCAGGCATTGGAAAGGGCTGCTCTGCAAAGCTGTGGAGTCACCACCTCTGGAGGGWTTTAAAGGAAGTGTGAATGTGGCACTTGGGGACATGGTTTAGTGGCGATTTGGCAGTGCTGGGTTAATTGTTGGATTCAATGATCTTAAAAGGTCTTTTCTTCTTAATGATCTTAATGGTTCTGTGATTCTGAACATGGTGTCTCCACATGGCCAAGTACCCTCACACCACTCTTGCCTAAACCCTTGTGCTCACAGAGAGACTGGATTTTGTGTCTGCACCTTCAGCTTAAACCCAGACACTGGCAGATTCAGCTGTGATTACATTTGGTGGGAATAACCTGGCAGCCAAGTGTGGGCAGCTGCCAGCAGTGCAAGGGCACCTGATCAGAAATCACAATTCCCCTCAGCAATCACAGCCACACCACCCTAAACTGGCATTAGGCTCAGCTCAGAGTAACACTCCAGCTGCAATGAGAAGATGCAATGCCTGTTTTGCCATGCCTGCCCACAGCAGCACCCTCTGGCAGGAAGGATGGCAGAGCAGGAAGGCAGGGATGATTAAACCTGCCCTCCATCACTAAACTTCACCAAGGATTTTAAGCAACAATCCTACATGTCTGCTTGTGCCAAGTCTGGAAGCACAGTTGCAGCTCCAAGGTTGCAGCTCACCTGCTGCTGAAGAGCACAGCACAAACCCCAGCAGAACACAGACTCAGGATAAGGAGCTGCACAAACTGTCCTTGGATGCTACAGACTCAGCCACTAAAAATTATACCACTATTTCTGTCCATGGCTTGCTAGAAACCCCAGACCCTCMTTTGAGCACGAGCTTAATGCCCACCCAGAAATGCTGAAAGCTCATCCAGAATGTAAAACAAGCACATCACAGCTTGCCTGAAACTTGGGCACAGTGAGGACCCAAGCCCACATGTCTTAAGGCTGACTTTTAGCCAGAAGGCACTCTGCAAACACAGGATGAAGCAAAGTCTGCCTGGATGCCAGTCAGCACCGTTAGATGCTATCTTTGGACTTAAGGGGATCAGACAAATGGTCAATGTCTCAACTGCAAACCASCCAGTCCCTCTGCCCCACTCCAACCTTTGACACACCAGATCTCCACTGCTGCCAAAGGATGCTAGCTGTACTGCACTGACTCATTAACAAAGTTTGGCCTAATTCCAAGATTAAAAGCTTTTGGGCGATATTTTCTCTGCCTAAAAATACATCTTCTTTTCTATAATAGCCACAAAATAGAGYTCTGTTTAACATTCGAATGTGGAAAAATCAGTGCTATAAAACATCAGTATTTCAGCCCTGAGATATTTGGAAGGGATAYAGCCTGTGCCCATCTTTCAAAGACGACTTTCAAATGCCCCTTCCAAGACTTTGCATCAAGACCACAGGCTCCTTCAGTTACATTGCTATTGTCCAGTCTTGAGCAAATAATGGAAGCTTTCTGCAAAGTAAGTACTGGCACAGAAAATATCCTGCAGTTTGAAGTACATGTTCAGAGTCCAGCCACATTCAGCTGCTAACACACRCCATTCTGTGTCTAATCTATTGATGGGAGACACGTGATGCTCCACAGAAAATATTGTGACAGGAGCACACAACTATCCTCTGAAAAAGCAGACAGTGTAGAAAGGTATCTGGTCTCTGCTTCAAAGACACCTGYACTTTCAGTCTGTCACACCTTTCATATTAACAAGGGAATTTCAGATGCAGTCTACTGAGCAGAGCCCTTTTCTTAATTTACTGACCTTGCAGGTATGATGGCACCAGGTTTTATAATTAATATTCTCATAGTTCTAAAGTTGCTATGTCTCTGAAGTGGGTTTGGGTCAGAAGGGAGTCTCCCTGTCACATTTGTCTCAGAGGTCACATGGAAAGCCTGTAAGAAAGCCCAGGTAACACCTGACCCCCACTGCTGAAAGGCAGGGTTTATATCACTGAGCCACCAAAACAACGCAAATTCTGTCCTTTTTCAAGGACAATGCAGTCTCATCTGTGGTATGTTCAACACAAAGCTGGAACAAGTTGGGTGCTCCTCAGCGAGTTACTCTTTCACTTATGCACAAGYAGAGCTGACGATGGGGTCAGAGAAAGTTGTGAAACCTGAAGTCAGTGCCTGCAGTTCCAAAGGGTGAACACATTRCTGTGTACAGGTTGTGCTGTGCACAGCTACCTTATTTCAGCTGTACATAGTGTTTGGTAACTGTGAAGTAACTGTCCAGGCACTAATATAATAGAGAGCCCTGCTGTAACTCAGCCTTTCATGTTTCAAGCTGCAAAGCCACACCTCAAACAGAAATGCCATGTTTAGTGCAGGTGCATTGCTAACTTGTTCTTCTCAACTCATTACAAATAAAGAAAAAAAATCTCCTGAAGGGCTTGCCACCTCCTTCCATTTGTGATGTTCACAGCATGGTCATCTTTAGCATTCCCCAAAAATTAGCATGCACTATTACATGGAAACTTGAGCAACACAGGAGTGCACCTGTCAGCATGTGAAGCAATGCCTTCAGACCTCTTGACATGGAWCTTGCAGACATTGAAAAACATCAGGCAACCCGAGGCACTTCTGGGGAGTTTTCTTTTTGTTTTTTCCCCCCACCCTTGTTGGTCTTTTCCATAGGAATTTGATGAAGCAACACAGCAATGATTCAGAGAGCACAGACCACATCTACTCCTTTTTTTTTATGGCAGAACATGCCACCCAAGGCCTCCATTTCCCAATGTTTTAACATCCTGATGCATTATTGGAATACACATTACAAGACTTTGTACCTTACATTTCCCTCTTGTTGCAGTTAGCTATTTGTCCCATGAGGAAGCCTTTCCCCTCTAACAGAGCAATGTTACAACCCAATACTACCTAAACATGAGCATCAGAAATAGTATCTCATGTGCCCACTAACTCAAAGAGATGAAGAAGCATRTGAGGCTTCTTCCTACTAAATAATAGTTACATTTTTGACCCCTTGCTGTACTCTTCCATGATGGGGGCAACCAGTGGAAGCTAAATACCAGCTGTATGGGTAGCAGACAATTCTAATTTAAGCTAAACATGACCTAAGAAACACTGATTCAAAAAAGAGATCACTGTAGAAAAAGCCCTGGAAAAGTCACAAGGGAAGACTCTTAGAAAAAAGGTACTTTAAAAGTTGCCTAGTGTGCAAGAGGTCAAGTTGACTAAGAGCAGGGACACAAAAGTTGACTTTCAGAGCCGAAAATAAACAAACAGAAGTTTGTCCACAACCAAGGCACCTCCTTCCCCTCCAGTGAGAGTTGCTTTCACTGTAACTCACTCACTCAAATGGAGCAACCCACTAAACCCACATGCTTTCATTTTATGGATCTGCTTTCCTATAATCACACACAGATGCACATTTTCCCTGGGACAAAGGTAAGCAAATGGAAGATAACTGGTAAACAGGGAGGTTTTTAACCCTTTCTTAGTTAACCAGTTCTGGTTATATCCTTCTAACCCCAGAGGCAGCTGCAGCAGCGTTACTGGGATAATGCTGTGTGAGCTGCCGGGGCTCCTCAGCACTGGAAGGTTGTTGATTGCTGTTGCCCTCCTGCTCCTCCCTTCCAGAAAATGGTGGCTGTCCTCTGTCCAAATTCTGCCTTCTTTTATCACTTTTCCTCAATTTTATCTCTCTGCTAYCTGGACTCAGCCTTACTGATCAATTTTATGTCAAGCTGTCCAGTTTCCAAAACCTACATCAATCTGTACCATTTTATCTACCAGCTTTATAAAGCCCTTTAATCTTTGCAAAGCCTTTCTGCCAGGCCACCAAAGGCAYTGTGTTCTCAGAGCTTACAGAACTGCCTTTCCCTCAGCAGCCAGCAATGAGCTCAGCAACACAGTCCCACACAGCTTCTCCTCAACCTCACCATCCCCAAATAGAAGAGGACAGGGCTACTGGAGACAGAGAGGGGGAAAGAAGAAGGAATAACACAGGCAAAGAAGAAAACCTAAACTGTTGGAAGGGAAAAACAGAGAAAATGGGAAAATGAAGGAGGACAAAATCAGTGAATTAAGACAGGACGACAAAGAAGGTGAAAGAACAGGAAAAGGGGAAACTGAAAGGCGAAGAATGAACGATGCCCTCTCTCTCAAGGCTAGAGGTTTTCCCCAGTCTCACCTGATTGCTGCACTTRGACCTGTCCTTCACATGCACATCGATGCTCTCAGATCACAGATGAAGTTTGGACTTCCTTGGTGTTCTGCAGAAGGGTTTATGTAATGTTATTGCCATAGCAATAACATTTATGCAATGTTATACCTGCCATAGCAGATAAYTGTGTATTTTATAGACTGTAGAGCATCTGGATTGGTGGGTGAGGCCACCAAAAACCCTGGATTCCAATTATAATAAATGAACTCAAGACTGCATTCAATTAAGAGGTTTCACAGACCAGCTGAAGTTGGAAAAGAGCTCAGTTTGCAAGTGAAAAAAATTTGTAACTACCTGCTTAAATTCAACTGCTTTTGCTAAATCAAGGCTCTAGAGGGAGATGAGTATTTTAATTACCACAGAGCTGGTTTGAATAGCTTTTGATCTCCTGATCTCACTCCTGTTTGCTTTGGAGCACTGGATCAGGAAATGCAGCCCAGGACTGGGATTTTGAGAGAAAAGCCCTGGTCCTGGAGACCCCACCTCTGATATGTTAGAAGGGCTCCAGCCAGGAGCAGGTCTTTGTTTTMCAAACACACATAGGAGAGGACCATTATTTTTGTTCTGATAATGAGCACAGTCTCCTAGGTCCTTCATGTGTCTAAATATTCACTTTCCTGGGCAGAATATGCTTATTTTTACATAAATACAGTTGSTCTTGATAGTTCTTTGCTACAGAATTTTACAAATAATTAAATGTGGACTGCTTGATTTATTTCAGAACATTTCATTCTCCTTCACAGGCCAGTTTTCCCATACATGAGTGATCCCCTGACCTGTGCTCTGCTGAGGGCTCTGGCTGTTCTGCATCAGGAATTCTGTTCCCTCCAACTCAAAATTGCTCTTCCACCCTCAGCATCATCCCATTGTCCCTGCAGTTTTTCTGTCTCTGCATCTGCCTCCTGGCTGTTCTGCTTGGTACCAGGTAAGAAACCTTTCAGGACTTGACCTTCCACACCAACAGGGCTTAACTTTCTCAGGTTACCAGATGCACAGAAAGACATGGAAAGAAGAGGTATCCAAGATCTAAGAATTTCAGCCTACTTCTTAGACCTTGATTTCTCTGAAGAGCACCACTTCAGAAAAGCCAGAGAGACATGGACTGAAGGAAGAATTTCTCATCTTTAGGACCCATGAAATCTGCYTTCCTGTGTTTGTGTAATTCTGACCTCTCTGGTGATTTTGGGAGTCTTTGTTGTGTCAGGTTGCTAAAACAGCACTTCTGTTATCAGCAAGCCMTGTCTCTTACACCACCTGCAGAACCAGGGCCAAATTGAACTCAGTACAATGACCCTGCTCTAACCTTTCCATGGACTTTTCCASCTCAATAAGGAACGGAGATCAACGTCAGCTTGGGTGGTAGAAGTACCTTCAAAGGGCTGGATGGGCCATGCAGAGGTGAAATGTCTTCCCCAGGTGGGGAATATCCCACATCACTTGACTCACAGCTCCTTGCTGTGATCTCAGCCTGCCAAAAACCCCAATCCCTGTTGGAGCCATCAGTTCATGTACTGCTGACCCTTTTAAGCCCCAGCAGCTCCCCTAAGGGGTGACTGAGCTGCTGTTCAGGCTGTCTTGACAGAGACCCTGCTGCCTTCACTGACTGAGACAATCCAAAGTCAACACAGTAGGTTCAGTCCTGTCAATCCCTTAAAGACAGAAGCACTTATCTTCAAACCTGAGCCTGAAGGCTGGTGAAACAAAGGTGCCCTTTAATAAAGTAGGATTAATAAGCTGGAAAGGTACGTAATAAAGGGAAAGAAACAACTCCTCTATTYCACACCGCAATTCAACCAAAATATGAAGATGATAAGATAAAATCCCACTGTTTACTCACTACTTTAAAAGGTCTGTTCTCCCTGAGTGCAGTTCACTGTCAGCCAGTGACACCAAAAGAAGACGTTTCTGCCTGGCTCTCTTGCTCCTTATTCCTCAAGAGTTCCCAAAAGAAGGACTCCAAAAACAAGACCGGCCACACAGAGCTGAGTGGCAGCAAGGCTTCATATATGGGAGTGGTCAGAAGGGGAGGGTGATGTAACGAAGCCCTATCTTTGAGCAGTAAAGGCATGCCACCCTTCCCCCTCCCTGTCCCTGAGGAATTGCTGGCTCACAGGGCAAGATGAGAACAGAGTGGTCCAGCACTTTCCGTGCCGCACTTTCTCACGGTAAAGGGAACAGCGTAGAGGGTGGGGAGCAAGGAAAGATCAGACTTGAATGGAGACAATACTTTGATGTTMGGTAGTCCCAGGAGTGAATCTGTTCTGGCAGAGTTGTTTCTTTTCTTCATGCATCGAACAATTCTCTGCCAAGTCACTGGTTTCCCCTGGCACAAGTCCTGACAGCGAGGACACCCTCTCTGTTAGAGCACTGGTGACCCCATACCCATCCTGACAGAGAAAATCCCATTCCTGCACTCTTCCAAGTTGGCTGATGCTGGAGCACCGCCCAGCTCCGTGGCCATAGGGGCTGAGAGCTCTGTAGTGGAGAAGGAACGTGCATCCCATAAAAGGTGGTGTCTTGGACAGTAACCTGGGAAGCTCTGGAGAGGCACATCCTGCCCTTCTCCATCAGAGGAAATCTTGAACCCTGGGAATGGAGAGGAAATCTCTCAAGGAYGTACCGTTACTGTCCAAAGGGAAAAGAATTAATTTTTGACTTCCTTCATTTCAGTTTTGTTGATCGCTCACTTGAAGGGATTTTTGACCATGAAAAGCCACGTCAGGCATTGAGGCAAGGTCTGCCTAATTCAAAGGTTATAAACAATCAGTTGGGTAGCTCTGTGATTGCCATATAAAGGGAGGTTCCAGGTCTAACAGAAGGTTTCTRTGTGCCCTCAGATGAGGCAATTGGAAAAGGCAGGAGCAGTCCAAGCTTTCACAAAGTGAAATTCATGGAGTTACTGTCATCTTCCAGGAACAGCAAGATCTGCAGGATCATGCAACAGCAGCCAAATAAATACCACCAGCTCAGAGAACCAAAATCTCATACTGACAGGAACCTCCATGGATAATCCTTAAGTTTGGGTGGGGAAGGGAGATGTGGGAATGACTCTTGCYAGGGCTGCTTGTGCAATGCACAGTGAACCAAATGGAGAACAACAGTACCTTTACCCCTTCACAGGTTATTTTTTTAGCCAGAGATGTCCTGTCCACAGAACACTCGGGCATCCCAAGTAAAGGGGCTGTTCAGAACACTGAGGAGCATTCCTGTGCACATCATAATCTGAGTCTCACTTACCCTGAGGAATGGGACTGCTTTGACAGTGTCAAGGGACTTGAAAGCAGATACATAACTGAGTGACAACCCCTTTTAACTGCCAGGAATGCTGCCTGAGAGATTTTTCCAGATTCACAACAAACTAGCATTCTCTCACAGGTGTAAGATTTGCTCACTATACTTGCACTCCTGCAAATTACAGAATCTCAATAAACTACTCCCTTTTGTTCTGTTGTTTTGGAGGGGGCCTGGCTTTGGAGCTGTCGGAAATGAAACAGAAACAATTAACATTGAGTTGTTCTGTTATCTTTATCCAAACAAGAATCTGTACCCACCAGGTATTTTTCAGTACAGCCACAACTGCAGCAGACCCCATCCATGCCAAGGAAAGCTCCCCCCTTGCTCAAGGTGCAGCATGTGTTTTACAGGATAGTTTGAAAGTGACCTAAACATGCTGGGTGGGTGACAAAGTGAACTCTGTACAAACTGTAAGTACCAAGAGGAAGAACAGAGACATAACAGGTCCCTTTCCCTACTTCTCTGCTGATACTCATGGTAAGAGACAGAGACACGGGAGACTGTGTAAAGCTGCTTACCAAATAGGARCCTCCAGTGCTTGCTGCACCTCCAGAAAAATCTCCAAACTCCAATCCTGTCCAGATTGCCAAACTCTTATCATCATCACCACAAAGAAATTCACTACTTAACAGCATTTTTAAGCTACTCTCAGGGTCAGGGAGCCTTACAGGMACCCATGAGAAAAGCATTTATGTCTTCACTTCAGAGACAGGACAACAATCTTGCTGAGGGCTTCAGAGCAGGTCAGTGCTGGGTTGGAATAGGGAATCTTCCACCCAGATTCTTTAACCATGTTCCCTAGACATCACCTTTCTTCCCTGTCACATGCCTGATATCTACAGTAAACCCAGAGGCAGCTGGAAGTGACAAGTGCAGAGGCTGACACTGATCTACTGCACCGTGCCTGGAGCTCCGTGGATGTTGTGTTCAGTGTTCCTCATGGCTTTGGTCTCTCCCCCACTGTAAACAGGAAATGAATAAAATGTGATGGTAGCACCCTCATCACCTTGTGAAAAATGACAGCAGATTAGATTGCTTCAGAGGAGCTGGGGGGAAGTTCAAAGAGTTTGCCWTTTAATGGAAAACTTGCCGATTGTTACAGAAAGTTGTTGGGTAACTAATCACTGTTAAAGTCTAATCTAAGCAAAAGGGCCCTAAAACCAGAAGAACACGGACTTTCCCAGCAAGAGCCAAGGTTCAGTTTCCATTCTGCTTAAGAATCAGTGGGACTTGGAGATGTGAGCCTCAAAAGTTATTTTATTCCGGGACTTTTATTATGACTGGACACTGACCCACGGAGATCTGTGTGTGCAGCCCACCCAAACTTCGCCTTGTGAGACCTGTGCATCTCAGGAAGTCCCACAACTTCTTGTTCCCTTCTCAGCAGTTTCTGCTGAAGGATCAGCTCTGCTGCTCTTGGAGTAACAAATGAAACCTCTCAGCCTAAAATTCAGCACATCTGGTAAGCCAGAATCTGCCCCRGGTCACCTTAGCATGGCAAGATTTCAATGGGATCGCTCAGCAGCTCCTGCCCCGAGGCAGGGTCAGGGTTGCAGCCTCTCAGAGAGGGATGGGGCACAGCAGYGGTGCAGCATCCCCCAAATCTGTTATTCCCACTTACCCAGCCCTGGGGGTGCCTTCTGCCAACACTGCAGGGCCACTCAGTTCACAGAGTAGTGGGAATCAACTTGGCAAAGAGCCACTGATGGCTGTTCAGGTGCTGTGTGGGAAGAAATTCCACTGAGTCCCTGCAAACGCTGTGGATAAAGCTCTAATTTGCACTGAGTGGGCAGGGGCTGTGCACATTCTGGCTAAGCTTCCAGTCTTCGGAAGGCAAACCTGTCTCAGGGATGAACACCCAAAAAAGAGAGTGTCATGAACCTTTACACTGGACCCTTTTCCCTGCCGTGGGCAGGTGAGGAGGGTGCTCAGCAGCCACACAAATAGTTTGTATAGCACTATACAGTAAGGTTACACCATGCAAGACAACTCACGCCCTAAGTGAGAATCTGGAGTTACAACTCTTTTATTCCAGTGGTTCTCAGCACTTCACATTCTCTGTTTGTTCCCCAGAACAACAGCCTCAGGAAATAAATACATTTTTSCTTCTAAAGAAGTCACTCACTGCAGCTCCAACACTGCTCCAGTGCTTCAGGCTCACATTTAGTCCAACTAAGGCTTGGGCAATACAGTTCATCTGTGTGGCCATTTGCARCCCATGGGTTTTGACCTTAGGAGAGAAACACACAGCACAGATCGAGTGTTGGTGCAAAACACAGCCATAGCCCACATGTGGGACAGACACCACTGTACAATGGGACAGGCTCCTGTCACACCCAGCACAGCAAAGCAGTGGAGTATGTTCAGCTTCCACCAGCCCAAGGCTGCACTGAAATCTTGGTGATCCTGTGCTTTCCAGRAGGGCAGTCACAAAGTTCATACAAAAGACAACCATGGAGACAGGAGCCTCTCTTGACTGTCTCTGCATTGAATGCAGAAACCTGGCTTGGTGCTTGCAGCACCTCCTCCTCTGGGCATAGTGTAACACTGGATTGAGGAAAGGACAAGTGCTCAAATCCCAACAAGCCTTCTGCCCTGAGAGCTGCCTCCCACAGGTCAAGAGGAGGGGTACAAACATAGACACCCCCTAAATTTTGAGAGCCACAGCAGCCAGTGCCATCAGGCACAAATGGACCTYTGCAGTTGGGTAGAGTGGCCTTCCCTGGGAAAGGCTCTCCCCTTCCCCTGCAGATGGGAGCAAAGAGGCTTYCCACAGGCTGGAGCAATGTTCCCACTCTCCCCCTTCCCACATCAGCCAACACTCCTGGCCCTCTGATACTGTGGGTACAATCATCTTTGACACTGCTGTGCCTCTGTCTCCCACCTTGTCCCCTCACAGTTGTCCCACAGCACTGAAGAAGAGGGACAATTTGATGATGAGGTCAGSCTGGTGTGTCATGGGAGTTTGGGGGAAACAAACCTTGGGGTTTAACAGGACKGCTCCCCAGTGAGAGCTGCCAGAGCCAGAAATGAACCTTGAACTCCAGCAGGGCAGGGCAGAATTGTACGCAGACAGAAGACTAGATAAAAGAGATTATCTTTATATATATATGGATTTTTTGTAAGAGCAGGAAGGAGCAGGAAAGAGAGGCAGAGTCCAGGGCCTGGTCTGACTGTTCAGATCTGAGGTGACCAGAAACACTGGCTGCTCTTGAAAAGGCTTCCTGACGCCCCCCATGCCGSCCTGGCTGCCTTGCTGGCCTCTGCCACAGAGATCCCACCAGCCTTGAGCTAATTTGGGCTTGTGGGTAAGAACACAGAAACACAATGGTGACAGGAATGAAAAGCAATGGGGAGGATAACACCCAGGAGACTTCCTCTTATCAAGGAAAAACATTATATCAAAGGGGATCTGGGAAGACAGGGAAGAGCCTTTTGTAAAACCCACAATTGAGTCAAATCCTGCAGTTTTTACATGCTGGTCTCTCGGGAGCCCCATGATGAGGATTGCCCCAAAGGGGACCCCTGTGCCAGGCGAGGCCAAGTGCCAGACACGCTGCACACTGAGCAGCCACACACCCATCACAGTGTGCCCTGTGCATGTGCTTTTTAATTACAGCTTTTGTTTGCAAAGCATCTCTTCTAGAAAAGACAAATTGCATTACTCTCAGCTTATTAAAATCACACTCAGAGTTTCTCAACTGCTAATTACAGCCAGGCAGCAGTGTTAGTGTAATTAAAGCTGGGATGGACGTTTGGGGATCCAGCTGTCACACAGCCCCTTCCTGGGCTCAGCTGAGCCCTGCCCAAGCCTTGGACCCCTGTGACACCCAGGCACAGCCCTGCCGTGCCATGAGAGATGATGCAGGGAAGGCCAAGCCCCTCCTCAGCACCAAACCTCTCCATTTCCAGCTGGGCACCCACCCTGACTGCTGCAGGGCTGGGGGAAGGATACACGTCACCTTGGGGTTACAGCACTGAGGTGTGGGAGTGACAGGGGGTTTTCTSCTGTTTTTGTTGCTAAATGATTGCAATAAATCACATTGCCTGTCTGAGCCTCTATTTCCTTTCATGCGAAATAGAGATTTGGGGTTTCCCTGTTAATTAAGTAGTTCTGGGGACAAACCACAGAATGGACTCATGCAGGCACCTATCTCACACACTTTAAGGCCTGACTGTGGCACACAACAGACCTGGGAGTGGATTACACAGGGGAAGGTGCGAAGCCTAAGGTCATATGAGTTCCAAAGAACTGAGAGATGGCAATAAAAGAGCTTACAGACCTGTGAGGAGCCAGGAGCTCGCTGGTGAACCAACTGTGCCTCTGTAACACTCAGTCTTGGCAGAAGGGCCACCACAGGTGTGCAAACAGCCATGTGGACAGCACAGCAAACACCTACCCTGAGCTCAGGCACCTCAGAAACCGAGCTCTCAGGGCTCAGCTGGGACCAGGTCAGCTTTGGACAAGGGGCACCCAGCAGAGGCTTCCTGCWGCCAAGAGGATGCTGTGGAGAATATCACCTCCGGGAAGATGGAGCACTAATTAGGGAAAGCAGATAAAGACTGTATCTCTTTCAAGATAAGTTTCCTTCCCACTGAAATCCTCACAGTTTCAGTGTTCAGCAGGATGCAAACACATCCTTAAATGACTTCCTGAAGACTATTTACAAAGGTCAGTCCTTCAAAAGCAGGAACATGCCAAGATCAATAGCAGACCCAGGAGAGCTCTGAGCAGGCCAGCTCCAAAACCACCAGGCTTTCACTACARCCAGTTTCCTACCAGATGTTAAGGGGCAATGCTAACTTTTCATATTTGAAAAGGCTACCAAGACTTCCTAAGCAATCAGCCTTACTCATGTACCAAGGGAAAAAAATAAATCAGTAGGAAATTTTAAATTTCAGAAACAGCATGATGTGCCTGTGCAATATATCCTGGAGAGGCAAACCCACAGATAGAGTTCACAAGTGAAGGGGAGAAGAGCTCAGAGACACTGGATGTGTCTTGGATGTGATCCCAAGAACAAGGATACGCTCATCTGCTCCTTCAACAGTTTTACTGCCCGGGAAGCAGCTATCAAGTGATCATTTTTAATCCAATACAAGTTACAAGCAAAGGATGAATGATCAAAATTTTATGTGGGAAAAGCTGAGCGGGGTGTCCTATGGATGCCAGAGGCAGCAYATTTACCTGTGGCCCAGTAATGAAATCGTAGAAGATAACATATGGAGCTAGCAAAGGAAATCAGGAAAGTTTCAGCTGTGGAAAACTTGAAAACATCTGTGAAACAGAGCAAATAATAGCTGATGAAATTCAATATAGAGAAATACGTAATGCCTGGCTGTGATAAACCAGTATGAAGGATAGATCTACATTGGTAAGTTTGAGTTAGAAGCTCTTTACACCACCATTAAATCTCTTACAAAGATTTGGGGCAAAMAATGCAGCAAGAAAGAAGCAAGAATTTGTTAGCTCCTGATTCATTGGCTCTTTTTTAGAGCTTATAAATGAAACTGGGACTGTAAAAAGGAAAAGTATTCCTTTGACAAAGATAAAGAGGACAGAGGCAGAGTTAAGGCTCCAAGCTGGCAAATCAAGCTACAACTATGGAAACTTAAAAAACAAACTTAGTACAGGGAACTTACCTAAGAAATGACATAACAAAGATTATGCCCAACACACAGAAATAAAGTGTTTTCAGTCTGAGGTGTTCACTCAAGTACAGTTAACTGCAGGTCCCCGGGAACAGCACTGAAATATGTCCAAATAGGAGAATTCCAGTCAGAGGTCAGTATTTTCATCCCTTAAAACACGTGCGCAGCGTCAGAGCGTGCCACAGGAACACAATGCCTGAAAAGCAAAGGCAGGATTCCCAAGAGTTTCGAGCCTTGCTCTCCCTATGGAGCCTGTGTTTGCGAGGATCGCCGGGCTGAGCTCACCTCAGCGAGCAGAGCACTCACCCCTCCGCCCCAGAGCCACCCTGCCATCCTACCTGCAGCTAAGGGGCACTTTCCGTGCGGGCGGAGCGGCATCTCAGGGGTCCTGCCAGCACATCCCTGCCTGGCCCGGGGAGAGGAGAGCCTGTTGAGCAGAGCAGCCGGGCTGTTCCCCAGTGGGTGAGAGGCTGGTCAGTCCCAGTTCTTGCGCCGGGCACTAGATGGCACAGACGGGAGGCGCTTCCAGGGGAGCCAGCCCGGGCTGGGCGGGGGCACGGGGGGCTGCACTTGCCCAAGGGGGTTTGCTGCCATGGGGATGTTCCCTCCGCGGGGTGTCCCCCTGCCACCGCCCTGCTGCACCCCTCACATCCCGTCCTGTGCTGCAGGGAAGCCGGACAGCTCAGCAAAGGTTGCGAGTTCGTGCCCTTGGCTCCCAGACACGACCTGCTACTCCTCACCAGGCTCAGGTTCACTGCCTCGGCCTCCAAAGCACCTGCTTCACAGAGCAGCCCTATATTTGGCTRAAACTGCTTCAAAAGGAGGGCAGAAATCCTCCGTGGGATGGCCTGTCCWGTTTCACTGCTGCACCTTGGGTATCGCCCTCCAGGATAATAAATAGCATCTCTTGCCCCGAGTGTGGAGAGACACCGAAGGCCAGGTACCCCTCAGTGGTCCCTCTGGGCTCGGGCCAGTTCTGGGGAGTGGCACCCCTGCACCTTTCCTCTGCAAAGGAGGGAAGCACTTAGTCACTGCTCTTAAAGCATTTGTCACAAGCTATCTCCTCTGAAGCWGCTCACTCTTCCTCCTGGTTTTCTTCCTTTTCAGCACTGCTGCCTGCAATCACCGAAGCACCTGCACTGCAGAGCCTTCCCAATCTCATCTTCCTCAATTCCTTTAAGGTGTGGATGAAATTCCTTACAAATGAACTGTGTGGACTGACGCGATGAGGCAAACATGGGCTAAGCCACACAAAACTGCTGTGGTAAGCACCAGAAAAAGCCAAAGCATTTTCATTGGTGACCAAAAAAAAAGTATGGCAAGGTGGAAGGTTGTAYGTTGGCCTCTGCTGTTCTGGCATTAGAAATTCACTTTACTTCAAAGGTTAAGGCAGTTAATGCATCTGCTGAAGATCACAGGCTCTGACAGCCTGCCTGGAACGGCTCCATCCGTGGCACGGCACGAGGGACAGCATGTGCAGGGTGGCACTGAGCGAGCAGCAAACTCTGTGCACAGGGCAGAAATGGCACACATGGGTGTTATCCAAACCAAACCTGAGCCTGGCAAAGCCCAAAAGAGCCTTTGTGCTGAGCAGCTCAGTGGTGCCAGGTATTAATGACACAGACAAGTCTCCAAGGAAAAGCCYGTTTGTTTTTCCAGCAGCACTACCCTTTCCTGTCCGTCTGCTCGTGGCACTGCCCCACAGACTGCAGCGGGTCTAGGGATCAGCCAGGTCAAACCCCACTGGGTGAATCCCTCAGGGTGTCATAGGTGACAGACAAAACATAATTCAGATGCCAGCACTGTAAATTCCAAATTCTTCCATGGTGTAAACAGGGTATCAGGTCAGTTTGGCTCAGTGRCTCTTATCTTTTAAAGGCTGGAGTGGGTGACGCTGGTGACCAGGTCACAACCCGGGGACAGACTCATGCTAGATCCTGGGGACAGCTCCAGAGTGGAGTCCAGAGGCTGAGCAGTGCAGAACAGCCAAGGAAGCTCCTTCAACACTGGGCTCTCACTGACAGACTTGGAGACCTGGAGATCGACCATCTAAATCTAACAGCTTGGTTCTGAAAGGTTTCCTGGGCAGTAAAGGAAATGCTTCAAAGAAGGCTCTTATGCTTCAATTCTCACTTCAAGCCCTGCTTCTTGTACACTTCAAGCRTTTGGGGGGTTTTAGACAAGAGGTATCTTTTAATCTTTGGATATAAATGGAGAAAAAATAGTCAAAGTGGAAAGAAATAAAAACAGTTGGTCACTTTTCCAGGCATACCATGTACTGTAAACACATTTTTTAAAGTGCTGAGTTCTTTGGAGARCATGAATGGAAGTCTTAGTCAGTGGTGCCATCCACCTCAGCAGGAGGACATCTAATGTGTCACCTGATGGCTGGAGTCGCTTCCCTCTGCCAGAGACAGGGATGGGAGAGCACTGAGGCACACAGCCACCCTGAAACCAGCCCCAGCACTTCAGTTGTATCTGCCCAGCTCAGACTCCACAGCCCGGCCTCCAGTGCCTGCTCCATATTCTCCCCCAGGGGCTGTGGTTGCTCTCAGTGGTTTAGCACTGCTTGCTAAGATGCTTAGAGCCAATCTAATCTGTGCACTTAGTGGTTTCAAATTCCAAAAGAAGCTTAGCAGCACCAGGCGCTGCCTTCAGCCTCTCCTGCATGGGCTTAAGRTGGTTTAATTCTTTTATGAAACTGTAGCTCCAGCCCACAGCTTTAAACTGTGGAGCTTCTAAGCCAGGTTTTCTAAAAGCTCTTCAGGAATATTTTTATGAGATACACACAAACAGGGGGTTCCAGAGGGACATATTATCACATCAGACATTTCTGCCTCTTAAAAGCTGGAAATGCGAGAACCCCATGGCAAGGTACATTTTAAGTCCTTGCAAGGCTTTCCTCCACTGTTTCTCCTGTCTTAAATCAGCACCACTGCTTCCAGAGCAGCGAGGGGTGCCTCWGGTGGTGTTTTCAGAGCTGCCTGTCCTGCCTTTCTGCCAGGCACTACAGCCACTGCAGCAGTTCAGTGCAAGGCTCTGAGTCCAAACCTCATGGTATCGTCACTTTAATTCAATCAAGATAAAATTAATCTAAAAGAAATGGGTGCAGCATTCTCCCAGAATGGAGGTAACAGAAATCCTCCATGCATCTCAATTCCCTAACTGACTCACCAGGAAAGCAGCAGAACCTCAGAATTCCCCTGTGCTAAGAAGTCAAGGTAATGCTGTGCGTCACTGGAGCAGACTGGTGACCTTCCTCGTGCTCACAGCAATGTTGTCCAATTTCACTGTGACCCCAAGATTGTTAAGATTCTCTATGCAGGCCATATATAGCACAATGAAGCTGCTTTTATGGGCCCTGTGAGAACTTGATTAATTTGCCCAATAATGAGGAGGCCAGTGTCCATAATTACTTAGCAGAACTCTGTCCTTTTGAAAACCCCTCACTGCACAGAAGGGTGCCTCATACCCAGAACAGCACCAAGGGCCTCATGGGCTGCAAAGAGAGCCTCAGCTGCAGAAAGCAAAAGGTTTAAGTCCTAATGAATGTTACATGGGCTATTGCTATCATTTCTCCATCAAGTTCAGAGTCTCAGCAGTGACTGTCTACATGCAGCTGCTTYCACCAGCACTAATGCTGTGGGAACTCCCCAAGAGTACAACACCCAGCTGATGCCATGTTCACCTTTTATCTCCCCAGCTCCATGTGCTCTGTAGTTTCAGGGAAGAAGTCCTTTTAATGGTTGTCATTAAGAGGACTTCTTCCCCAGAGCTGCACTGTCATGGACTGATGGACCTTCTCCAGGTCTGCTGTTTTGTTCAATCAAGAGCTTATAGGTGTTTGGGACATGGAGCTCCCACATGAATAGATCATGGCCAAACAGCAAGTGYATTTGCCCCTGGATGTAATGGAATTAAATCTAGAGATGCATTAGCTCTTTGCATGAATCTCTCCAGAGCTACAGCTCCCTTCTCAGCAGGAGGCTTGGCTTTGAGGGATCTGCCAACAAGCTCAGAGCCACAAGAAATAACAACTTGGGAGCTCAGACAAGCTGGTTTGCAGGCAAACAAAAGCTGAAGCTGTGAAAGTGCGAGGCAGTCAATGCAGTGTCTGGCAGCACAGCCTCACCTCCGCCTTAATCCTCTTTCCCTCCTTAAGCACTAAATTAATCAATTACACTTCCAGCCCGGCAAAACCAGGCAGAAATGTAACCTCCATCATACRCAAGGCAAACATAATTAGGATTGTCATTCGAATGCAGCTCGCCCAGCATACAAATGAGAGTGGCACCAGTGAGCGTGGGGCCTGCAGGCAGAGCCATTGCCATTGTGGTCACAGCGCGACACCGCCGCCTGTTCCAGGGGACAGCGAGCTGCTCCAGCCCCGGCTGAGGCTCCAGCTCTGCAGGGAGWGCTGTGGCACCGAGCACTGCACAAACAGGGCACTGCAGACACAAGGCAGCCCCTCTGGCCATGTCAGGGGGAAGCCACAGATGGCAGCCCGACCTCCCAGCCCAATGCTGCAGAGACCACAGACCCCGGAGGGATGGACAACATGGAAACCCCTGACCACCACTGCTGGGGTGAATTCATGAGGGGAGAACAATGATTATCCTCTCCCCAGCCAACTAATGGGAAACTGAGTCACGGGGCCTCAGCAARTGATAGCAAGAGCAAGGCAGGAGTGTTCAGTGAAAGCATCGCCCCAAGGCCAGGTGAGTGCTGGGAGCCAGGGCAAAACCACAAAACCAGTGGCTCCCAGGTAGCTCCAGGGTGCAGCTGCAGCCCCATGCCTGTTGTTCTGGTGCAGCAGAGGCTTCAGCGGGGCTAGAGGAGAGGCAGGAACCCAGCTAAGGATGAACAAAGGGCTGAAATGGTTTCTGTACAAGTCCAAGACTCCTCAGTCCGCGAAACAGAAAACTGAGAGGGGACACAGCAGAGGTTTGTTATACAAGAGTGGTTTGGAGAAAACGAATCAGGAATGACTGCCTGCTGCCTCTTCCAATATTTAAGCTACAAAAGCATCAAATGAAAACAGTGAGTGACAGATTCAGAACAAAGTAAATATTTCTTCACACAGCTGAACAGTGCCATAAGTTGCTGTGGATACCCAAAATTTTCTCAGGCTCAAAAAAAAGGTTTATAAAAAAACCTGTAAAGACTACTAAATGCAGAGACCCACATCTCAGGATATTCCTGAACTACAGATGGCTGATGGTAAGGAGAGTATTCAGCAACACAGTGACCTGCATCCCCCTGTTGTTAKCCTCCTTGCTAGACATCCTCTATTAACCACTGCTAATGGAAGATCCCGGGGGAAAGAGATCCAATAGAGTTGTTCTTCTGTCCTGGCACTGACCTGAGCTCTCCTCACTYGCCTGCAAGACTAGGAACTGGGAACATTCCTATTCCTGGACACTAGGGTGACAACGAGGAGATGTGCTTATAGCACAGAATTTGAGTGAATAGCAAAAGGATCTCTGTTTGCTTTCCATTTTTTCCCATTTCTCATGTTAGCAGTGATTTTTTGGTAAAATTAACTCAGTCATGCTGCACCCAGCTAGATGCAGTTGGCAGCACCATGTACCCCACATTCAGTTTAGAAACAAGATAATATCCTCCTGAGAGGTGCTAAAATATCCACAGGGATGGGATTTCAAAGTCTCAAAGCCACAGCCTGTGGCTGTTGTGAGACACCCCAGAGTTTCYACTCTGTCGTACCCAAGAAGCTCRGGAGCTGATCTATCTCTATGTAAAGTTTACAGGTGCCCTTGCCACTGCAGCAGAGATGAAAGGAAAGGAGGGGACACTCCTGTAGGTTGGTATCTCCCAACCTTGCATCCTCACCCCTGGCTCAGTCACTCCTAGGGCTGCATAGGACCAGAGGATGCAGACAGACACTGCACTCTGTCCCAGCAAACTCCTGCCTCCTGCCCTGCTGACCATCTCAGCTACACAAGTGCATCACTCGCTGTCATGTGCCCATTGAAAGCACACACAGATGGGGCAGGACTCTCTCTCAGTCTCCAGAGAGCTGCCAGCCAGGCAYTCTCCTTCAGTGAAGCCAAGTGGAGCACTGGTGTGCTCTCATTAGCTCCTATTATCCGTGCTATTGTAGCACACAGCCCAGGGACAGCTGAACTGCTCCTGCAATTGTTTGTTTGTTAAGAGGATTTGCTCTGTGGAGGGATATTTCCAAGTCACATGCAGAGGAGAGGGTATCCTGGTAACAGTGCCATCCTCCCAGCCACTTGTGTGCCCTGGTTCTCCCCCTGCCTCAGAACAATCCACCCAGTTTCATCCCCACTACGAGTAAACTGCAGATTGTGTTTCCTTCTGACTCTCASAGATAAGGTGTGAGACAATTGAGCTACATGAAGCCATTCTGCTGATAAACKGATCCTTTGGTTCCAAACACCTCTATCACTGCTGCTCCTTTCGGTGGCACTTGGAGCAGAAGAGGCAGGAGCACAGATCTGTGGCAGCCTGTCCAGCTGCCCGACAGCAGGGAAAGGCCACCKTGCAGCCTGCATTGACACCTTCAGCCATTGCTCCAGCAGATTTTGTTCTTCCCTTTGCTCCCAGTGACAATCCTGCAGCTGCAACACTGCACCCCATATGAGTGATTTTTCTCTTGACCTCTCTCAAAGCTCTCTGACCAGATCCAGAAGTCCTTACTCAGCATCTACTCCCTCCAAATGGGATTAGCTTGAGTCAGCCCCAGCCATATCTCAAGATCTGTTGATGCTAATTTCCCTCATGCAGGTGCTTAGAGCAGGAAGGAGCAGATGGACAGTCAAGGCTTTTGTCTGATYAAGCATCGAGTAAAATTCTGAGAARGGCCTTCAGGATSTGAACTTCCATGGTTAGAGAGCTCCACAAACACTGTGACAAAATTAATGCATTAGCCAGGCTGCTTTACAGAGCAGCCCCTTTCTRTCCCTGTCTCTTCAAGCCAGACAAGGGTCACCAGTAGAGTATTTGAAAGAGGCTGTAATGATGCAAAGCATCCACACCTCCATCCCCACTCRTGGCTCTGTAGCACAAAGAGCCACGGCCATCCCCATTCCCCCGAAGTGAGGACCCAATGGGCACAACAGATTCATCTGCTTATCTATGGATGATACTTATCTATGGATGCACAAGGCAGTGGGAACTCCAGGCTGTTCCTACAGCTGTGTGCCCTCACATTACAGCTCCCAGACACCCCTGCTCTGTGTGCAGGACTCAAAGACTGCCATGGGCACCTGGGCTCAGTGTGGTGATGGTCCTGAACACAAGTAAGCTTATGGCTTCACTTCCAAAAATCAGGTCAGGCTGAGCCATTGGTTATACTGGGAGCATGATCGAGCTCCCTGCGAAATCTCAGTGGCTGGAGRTGACATCCAGGCTTTGTTTTTTACCATGCTGTTGGATGGCAGTGATTTTGTCTGAGGAAAAGCATGTGCTAAACTTGCTGTGCACTGCTGGAGGAGGGAAGAATGCATACAAGGAAAACAGTTCTACCCACAGCAGGTAAGGAACGGTGCCAGCATCGTACTATCAGCTGCAGATGACGGGTGGTGGGCAAAATTCCTGCCAYTTTCCAGATTAGTAAAACACCTCCTCTGGGTCCAACAGCAGACTGATAGAAAACACAGCCCACAGAAGCAGTCCCTGCCAGATGGCGTGTTTTGAACCACTATTAATCTAGACAACCTTTTGCGATGTTCAAAGAGTTTGTCCAGGAATAAAAAAGCTCCCCAAAATGCCTGGATGGAAGGAGCAGTCTCGGCAGCATCCGCATCCCTCTTTGTCTTCCCGACCGAGCATCTCCCGGCAGAACAAACCCGGGAGGAGGAGGCGCCTCGGGAGCGGAGGCAGCGGGGCTGCCCGGCCGGGGAGGCGGGCGCTGGGGCACGGAGCCCCGCAATAGCAGAGCCCCAGCGCTGCTCCTGCGGGCACATCGGGAGCACGGGGAGCCGGGGCGGGGCCGGCCGGGCGGGGCAGCCCGGACCCCCCGCCTTCCCCGGCGCCTCCCCCGGCCCGCAGCCCGGAGCCCGCCCGGTCCGGAGCGCGGCGGCGGCGCGGCCATGGGCTCCCGGCTGAGCCGGCAGAGCAGCCTGGAGGAGGAGAGCGGCGAGGAGCCCTGCCCCGCCAGGCTRGAGGGCGGCCGGGGCGACTTCCACCTCTCCTCGCTGCTCCTGCACCCGCAGAAGCTGCCCGGGGTGCTGCGGAAAGCCTCGCCCGCGCCCTACGTGCGGCGGGTGGGGTGGCTGCGGGAGATCCAGGCCACCATCCGGGAGCACAAGCGGGAGCACGCCGTGCACATCCTCCGGCTGCTTAGGAAGGTACCTGCGGCGGGGATGCGGGCCGGGGCCGCCGGGGCAGCGGGGCGGATCGGATCGGGGCGGCGGGCGGGGCAGGGCAGCGCAGGGCAGGGCAGGGCAGGGCAGGCACAAAGGGCCGTGCAGGGCCAGGGGCTGCAGCCCCCGCCCGGCGCTCTGGCGCAGGGAACAGCGGAGCAGGAGCCCCCTCCCCGGCGGTGGGGTTTACAGCCCTCCTTTGCAGCTCTTTGTGCTGCCTTTCTCCGCTCCGTGCCCCGCTCCTTTCCCCGCTCGGTCCCCATCGCGCCAGGCGACACCAGCCACCCCCCGACCCCCAGCCTGGGCGAGGGGCTCCTGCCCGACCGCCGGGGGTAGAGAGGGGCTGGGAGGGAGCTGGGAGGGACTGCGCTGCACGCAGGGAAAGGGGCTCCGAGTTTGGGCTGTGCCCATCCACACTCCTCCATAGCAGCCCCTGTGTGTGCCCAGTATTGATGTCCCCCAGAGAAAAAGCCATTGCCCCTCCACTGCCACCACATCCCATTACGCCCGCTCAGCCAGACTGGCTGAGRTATGTCTGGGGACCTCTGGGACAATCAAGGCTCAGAGGAGAGGTAAAGGGGTCAGTGTATCAGTGGGAGCATGTTTCTGTCTGCCGCCATTCAGGAACAGAAAAGCCAGTGTGCAGACAGTGTGGTGCCAAACTGATGCTGAGGACAGAGCCCTGCTGCTGGAACAGAGCCATGTCCTCCATCATTCACTGTCACCATCACCATCCAGCCAAACTCAGCTGCCCCAAACTGCAGCCAACTCTGTAACTGGTAGCACAGGGCRCAAAACCCACCCTTGATTTGGACATAAAACACCATCAGTTTGTAGCTCATCGTGTTGCTTCATTAGATAAGAATCTACTTCATCTTGGGCACATACATTTCTTGCCTTAGTAGCAAGCAACCTTTGGGTGGGAGTGCAGTGGAACAGGGACTGGCTCGCTGGATGCTTGTGCACCCACACTCCCAGCTGCAGGGAGCTGCATGAACAGCCCTGTCTGCTCTGTATGCCCAGGSTTTTACAACACAACTGACAGTGGGGTCACTGCTCTGGGCTGCCAGCAAGTTGCACACTCACAAGTAAGAATTAACAGGACCAAAAATTACATCTCTGCTTTTCCTGTCCACTACTTGAGCATTCACTTGAAGATTGTTACCAGCACCACASTCTTCTTGCCACACGTATAGACAGGTAAAATCACAGCAGAGAACCTCTGTGTGCACCAGTATGGCAGACAAGGGCTGAATGAGATTTCCAAGGCAGTTTTGGAGAGGCACTGTTACAAGAAGCTTGTGAAGAAAGAGGGGCAACCAGTCACTTCATGGATGTGGCGATCTAACATGAACAGACTTTACTAGGGTATGCCAGAAGCCARAACGTCAGAATGTCATTTTCTATACTCCTCAGCACCTCTCCTTGAGACTGAAGCACTGAAACCCTCCACAGACCTTGGGGGTCTTCAGAAGGTCCATCTGTGAACAGACGGGGTTTGAGTGCTAAGTCACAGGGCCATATGGAATGGAGGGTCATTYCTAAGCTCCTTTCAGGATCAGTTAAACACTCAGCATCCCCACATCTGTGCTTTGAGAATTACCATGTYCTGAACACTCACATTTTGCCTGCTGCCTTTCCAGTTCCCYATGTTACTYCTGGTCCCCATCTCTGCCTGTCCAYGTSGAAACAGTGACARTCWGTCCATCTGCTCATGACAGAGCAGTGGGACATGCATCCTGTAGTCCCAACACWGCTTTGTTCTGCCAAGCAAGATGGGAACCCATCCAGCAGCACCTCAAAGCCTCTGGTTCCTCGAGTGCTCAGAGGTTTCAGAGACAGAGGGTTACACCACACTCRCAAGTGTCACCCAGTCTGGGGTCATGTAATCACCACCAGTCCTCCTCATGTGTCCAATGTCAGCTTCAGATCAGCCTTTTTTTTTAATTTACAATTTTTCCTCACTTCACAACTAAATTCACCCCTTAGCTTGGTTCCCAGCGTGTCCCTCCTTACCTTGGCAGTGCCACGCTCTCGGGAGTCACAGGTTAATGTGTCCCGGGTGAGGGTCTGTTTGTTACCTGCAAAAAGAGAGATACTTTGTTCACTCTAGCTGACAGGGACACATTTAACACCACACCTCATCACTGTGCCTCGGGCCAGGGCACAAACACCCCAGGGAAGGCAGAGAAATGGTGGGACTGGAAATGCAGCCTCCTTAGGTGAGCAGACAGCTCAGCTCGACTGGAGGACACAGGATCCCATGTGAGCCTCATACTGCTCCCAGCACACACATCCCTTGCAGGAGTACCCTGCTGATGAATCTGCCCGTGGTTTTTGACCTGTGGTCTGTGCTCTGCAGACTCCAAAAGGCTGCAGACTATTCCCAGGATGTTCAGAGGTTGTTATAATGTAAAGCAAGCAAGCCAGGCAGAAGCAGACCCACTAACGGAGATGTGAGATCCCAGCATTTTAAGAGACTGCACARAGAACAACTGCAAACCACAGGTGCACACATGTCCTGTACATGAACACTTGGACAGCTCCACTGTGCATCATTTGCCCCAGAAATGCCCASCAGCAGAAGCCAGACCAGCTTTCCTGCTGATCTAGGTGAGCATCACTCAGCTGAAGCCCAGGGAGACATWAGACTTACAGCAGCAGAAAGTCTGCTGTAATCTGTTTTCCCTGTGCTGAGACAATGGCAAAGTATCATTTTTAAAACAACAGCACTAAGCCAGCTGCACTGGCAAGAGTTATAATATTCTGCTGTCTGCAGCCATCCTTTAGGTRGTACAGAATTTTCCAAGAAATGAGAGAGACGGAGGGAGAGAGGGAGGTAAGATGAACCGGAAAATGCCTCTGGGCTAAGAATTTATGGAATATCAATGTGAAGTGAATATTTACAGCTATATTACTTACAAAACCCTCACAGGCAGGATTTATAATGGGAATGCAGATTCATCTTAATGGTATAGCTCCAACTGGGGGAGTTTAATTACCGCTCTGACATCCACTGCTGCATGCCCAGCCATGCCATCCTCACGGCAGCTTTCTTCATCTGTGCACATTACACTTGGCGTGGGAGGCTCCATTTCCCTGAAGCCTTATGGTTAAGGGAGGCACTGGCATGATGCCTTGGTAGGCTCCTGGCCCATATCCAGCTGTGGCTGTCTGTCCTTCAGGACTGATCCACTGTTTGAGTTCCTTGGTTGCTTATGGGTGTCAGAATGATGGGGCTGTAAAGTATTTAATTTATTCTCCCTTTCTGTCCCTGTAGCCAGGGTCTCTTTGGGATTGTGCTTTCTGCTCATTCCAGCGTATCCAGAGCAGGATACAGCACTGCTTTGATTGGTGCTTAGAGTTAACATCCCAAACCTCTGCCAGCTACGGCTCTATCCCTGTTGGTGATGTATGTGCATACATCCAGCTTTTTTCCCCTCTCTCACTCCATTTTTTTTTTAGCTCTCAGTCACTGGGTGGTGCCTGAAGCACACGCTCAGTAGAGCACTGTGAACATATGGGGCACTCATTTGCTTATTCATTTCTCCTGTCAGCCRCATACAGAATGGGGAGAAGACTTGTTTCCTCCCTCAGCTGAACCCTCCTTACCAACTGAATCAAACTATCCCTGTTAGGGAGTTTTTCTGTTCTACATGTCTACTCCTAGGGTATTTTTTTTTGCCCATGTGGTACTTTCATGGGAGTATGTGATCTCTCCTTCCCACATTTTTGTTTGTTTTTCACAGCTCTGTGGTACCTCCTGATTGTAATAACTGTGTCATATATCAGCTCTTTGCTTTCCTCTTAACAAGAAACAGCTTAATTCTTTGCAGTATCATACATCCGGCCCTGGGGAGGCTTTTTGTTCCCAAAGATTCTGAGACTTCTTCCAAAGGTGCCCATAYTCCTGTCCATGCAGATAAGTTGCTTGGACCACAGATGTTCCCCTAACCCACATTGTGGAAGATGGGAAGAGTCCCTCTGAGTGCGGTGTGAAGCCACCTATAAATTTATCATTACACCCAATACTGCCAGTGCTTAKTTCTTACTGACAAATTCAGAGCACAGCTAAACTCAGACAGATGGGCAGGACTTTGCTCAGCCAGCCACCTCCAGCATGCAAATACCTGAGGAAGGTCTGATTCTTCCAGAAAAACTGAGATTGGAGAAGCAGCTTTAGAGCCAGCTTTCCTGGTTGCCTTCTTCAGCACATTCACACATAGAAGCTGACAAAACTGTGTTTCGCTGAAGTTAATTCTCTCCAGGATCCAGCCAGCCTGGAAATGATAAAATTCTCACCTTCCTGTGGTAGGTGGAAATAAGGTGGTCAGGCCTAGGCTGACGAGCTCAAATTAACACTGCATCTCATTCAGCTCTCTGGCTGCCTGCACCCCCAGCACAGTGATGCTGCTCAGACACGGCTCCTTCACCTCTGCTGGATAATTTCCTGTACTGGGCATCCAGTTGGCACCTCATCAGATTTACTTTCTGGACTCAGAACACTTCATGGATATAGCTCTGAGGAAGCCTGTGTATCTSTCTGTTTTTGTTGCAGGACTTAGGACTGGAAGGAACATTTCTCAATGAAGTGCTCTACAAAAATGCGACTTTCCTCAACTTGGTGGATCCCATCTCCCATGACCTGCTGATGAGCCTTGCTAGAGATCTGCAGTGTCCCAAAAAGGTGAATTCTCCCCCAGCTCAGGGAATACTTTGTGGCACAGCACTGATGCAGAGAGCCCTATTGGGGTGGCTGGTACTGGGTGGTGCCCTGGCAGTGGCAGCATATGGATTGTGGGCCATATTTCTGTAGAAATCAGTTAAAACTACCTCAGAACATGAATGCCTCTGAGGGAGGGGGAGATTTTGTGCACAGAAATCACGAAATTATTTTTTGTGCCCATAGTAAACTTAGTGACAGGGCAYAGAGATTCACTGGTATCACAGGGGCTCAAAGCAACTAGAGCTCATGGGGGGCTTGTGGGGCTGCAGAGAAGAGCAGAGAYCTCTGCAGGAAACCACCCCTCTCTTCCTGGGCCCTTTGCCATACATAAATACCCCAATCCAGCATCATTTCCCCCCATAAACTCTGATATTCCCCAGTAGAGAATGGTGCTATAGAAATATATTGTAACTCAGGGTTCAAGAAGTAACTGTGTTAYGTGCACAGTGTCCCTGCGTGCTCCCGCACTTTCCTTCAGAGGATGAGGAGAGCAGAGACAGAAAGGCAGGGATGAGTACAGACAAACATCACAGATGTCCCAGTACCACTGCAACGCCAGCATCTATTTCTGTTACCCTTTGCCACCACAAACACTTGGATTTGCAATGTATCCATTTGCTCATTAGGCTTGGCAAGTGTCATGTTTGCTTTATAAGGAGAGGAATAGAGTGAATTTCTTTATTCAAAGAGAGATATTAAGCACACACAGCTCAGAGCAAGCAGCAGTGCCCCAGGGAATACACTGAATGCCTGGTGTAGATTAGCAGCATTTCTAACCTTGTTCTGCCATCTCCTGAGGCTCACTGATAACAATTAACCAGTCAGGTCTCAGTAGACAAACTACATTTAGCCAGAGTTTAATCATCATTATTGAGCTGCAGCACAGCCTGAAAAAAAATATCTTTCCATGTGTAATGTGTGTGTAATTCATATAAGCATCTAAAGGAAGGGGTGGGTTGTAGCTGTAGTAKCTCTTTCACCTCACTTCACTCCAACTCCAGCTGTTGTACCAGACCATCTCCAGCCCGTGCTGTGCAGTGCCCCTCAGGGCAGCAGCAGGAGGGGATCTTACCCTAATCCAGTACCTACGTGTTCAGCAGATCACACATTACCATTTTTATACACCTGCATCTGCCCCCACTCTACTTTCATGCCTTATGGATTCACTGACACATGTACCATTACATTAGAAATTATTTTCCCCATTCCTAAGGTACATGTTGACCGCCTGAGTTACCCTTCAAAGCCAGAGTTTAATAATTGGTTGCATAAATTCAGTACCTACGGCACCAGCACCCTTCCCTGAACAGTGCCAGACCACGTCCCCTCTCTGACCCTGGCTGAGCATCTGGTGGGTGTAACTGCATTACAGGCAAGCAGGCTGAGTGCAATTCCCAGTCTGTCAGTGCAAATTAAATCAGTGAGGACACAGGAAAGAGCAGGAGGGTAACTCTCAGTTGTGAGCCAACAATCGCTCACAGAGCTTTGTGCCAGCTGCTGTGCTGGAGCCTGCTGTGCACGTGCACCCCCTTGGAGAGGTTTGTGTGACATTCTGTGGGTGACATTTGAGTGCCAGCTGCAGCCCTGCCAACACMATAGCAGTAATCTGGAACAAGACACCTAAGCCAAGGGCACGGGCCAGTCCCATGGAGGGGAGCTGTGGGTGTTCCCAAGGGAGCTGGGACAAGGACCAGGGGATGCTCAGCTGAGCACAAGGCTGGGATCCCTCTCCCCTGGGCACAGCAGAGCTGCCACATGCTGGCACTGCATCCCTGGTGAGTTCAGCTCATTCTGGGGCTGCTGAGGAAAGGCACAGTGCAGCTGTGGCCTCCAGTGCAGCGCTTTAACTGCTCGCAATAAAGAATAAATCAGTGCCTTCCCTGACAGCTTTACTGGGTGTTTACCYATCAAATCCCTAAATGCACATGTTGCACCATGGCTGGAGGGCTGAGGGGTGGGAATTGCCTATCAGCAACTGGAAAATACAATAAAGAGGACAGAAGTCCCAGCCTTCAGCAGCTGCTATTTGACTCCACCAGAGGAAGAGATTCTGTTCCAAGTCATGACACTAAAAGAACTGTACTGCAAAAATAACCCAGGAAGGCAGCAATCACCTGGGTGTCATCTTTACCTGAAAAATTACTGCAGGGGCAGGAGGGAACTGCTGGTATTGGAAGCTCCCAAACTCAAACCTCCAGGAGCARAATGTACTGCAAGGAAGTAATGTGGACTGTGGGGAAGCCCAAAGTTCCCTGTCCTGACATCTGCCAGCTAGAGCACAGGAGGGCATGGGTCAGGGGGTCAGGGTGCTACTGCAGGAGGAGCAAGAAGCACATCAGGGAGGGGCAAGGGTGCCAATTACTGACCTTTCCACAGGAGTCACTCCAGAAACAGTTTGGGGAAGCAACAAGGTAATTAATAGAAATTTAGCACCATCCTGTAGCACAAGGAATTGGCATTGTAGGGGTCCCTGCAACAGCCCTAGAAAATGAACCTCTCTTCTGAGTGTCACTTGCTCTTGGGTAGGCTGTGAAACTGTAGCCCTGCTCTGGGCAGGAACTGCTGGCTGGGCTGGGGTTCTTCCTGGTGGTGCAGAGCTCCTACTGCTCCTCCAGGAGGAGTTGGCACATGGCAGATGCATCTCAGGCCTTCTCACCATTCCTCTTTCATTCTCTCTTCATCTCCTCCCTTATATACGTGCCCCTGCTCCACTACCATCTTTGTTCCATTCCCATCTTCCTCTGCCCCCTGCCTTGCCTCATGTTCTGCTATGGTGCAGGCAGAGTCTAAGATGGCCCTTTGCTTTCAGGAATATGACCCCTGGAAATCCTCAGACAGGATCTGCAGGCAGCTGATTTACCACCTAACCCCGCACTCGAAATGGCACCGGCACGGGATGCCCCGCAGGAAGTCCCAAGTGTGGTAAGAACCTGGCAGGGACTGTGTGGRTGGGCACAGAAGGGAATCTGCCTGGGCAAATGGTGCTGCAGCCAAACACCATCCCAGCCTGCCACCACTGCCCTCAGAGAGAGGCAGACTGACTGAAAATGGTGCAGCCTCATCCAAAACTCCAGCAGGGTCACACCCAGCACCCCTCTCTTTGATCTGTTTTGCCATTTGCCCCTTTCTGTGTGGTATTATCGTTCCTCACTCTCTCCAAAGCGCAGTGAAATCACTCCCCACAAGTGCACAGCACCGAGAACTCTCCTGCAGGGCTTGCAGGATGTTTTACCCCAGGGRCATGGCCAGAGCTGCCAGCCTGCAAAAACACCCACAGTCCAAACCCTGCCATCCCCAGCTGTACATCACACTTGTTCCTTGTTTAAAGCTTCTCTGACAGTGGGAAAAGTGTCCCATTTTGAGGCACAACCACCAGCTGCTCACCCCATGCAGCAGGAGCCACTCTGGGGTGGTTGGCAGGGAGGTGAGTGTCCTTCTCACCTCCCACTTCTCTGCCAGGACCCAGAGAGGGCCCCGCATGGAGCAGGGCCTCCTGCACAGGGAACCCAGCTCAGAGCACGCTGGCCCCTGACAGCTGTGGGATGGCTGCTGCTTTTCACTGCCAAAAGCATATTCTGACACCCATACTTGTTCCCTCCTTGACACTTTGCTGGCTTTTCTATCCAGATAAAGAGCAATCCCCACTTCTGTTAAATCCGCTCCTCCTCTCGTTATTTTCCTGAAGCAGAGCCTGTTCCTGTGACACAGATCACCACTGCTGAAGAAAAGGCAGAGAAGCAACTAAGAAAAGAGCTCATGTCAGCCCCATTAGCTTCAGAGGAATAAATGTAGGATTGGATAAAAAGAAATGCAAAATCAGCAGCACTCTGAGAATGGCCTTGGGCTTTTCTGATGCTTTTGGTCTTTGATGTGCGTGCCAGCAACTTAAAATCCCCCATGAGAATTGGCATTTCCATCATACCTTCCATTCTGACTGTGAGGCAGGTTCCTAGTGCAYCCCAAGGAATAAAATCCCTAATACCATGATTTCCAGGCCATCTGCCTCTTGTACCTGTAGCCCCCTTTTGCCACTGAATCCGAGCACTCTGAATGCTCTCAGCCCCAGCACCCCACAGGGCAGGACTGTTTGTGCTGCTTTGCAGGAGGCAGCCACAGCATGGAATAAGACTGAGGCTTCAGAGCTGAGGGAGTCATTTTCCAGACCCACTCAGATGGCATTTTCCCTGTAGGATCCTGCAGAACACGAGATACAGGATATAAACAGCATGTTTGACCTCATCCCTGTSCCCTCCCAAGATAAGCTTAAAGATAAGAAGTTCAGACTCCATACTCCTGCTCGCAGGCAGAGCAAACCTCTTCTCCAGCTGGACTTCAGGCAGAAGAGTCARACTGGAAGTGTTCCCTGTGATTGCACAGCTTGAGGACAGCAAAGGACTGCAAACTGCTGCAAACCCATCATTCAGTAACAACAGAGAGGAGATTTGTGGTCAGAGGAAGAGCTCTGGGTCCAGTGAGCACCCCACATAGAGGAGTCAGGCCCCAAGTATTGGCCAGGTACAGAACATCTGCAAGSATAAGGAGAGAGCAACAAGGAAATGTGCAGTGGAGGGAAATATAGGTCTAAAATGGGTGGCCCTGCCTGGCAACCACGCCCAGTTACAATGTGTTACATAAGGCACAAATTAATTTGGATTAAATATTTAACAGAAGCAGAGCTTCCTCTTTTAAGTGTGGAGATGAAATGGTTTGCAGTTTGCAGCAAAAGACGCCTGCAGAGTTGGCATCTGAGGCCGCTGCAAGAAAACGGGTGTTGTCAGTAGCAGGGACGCAAGAAATAGCTGCTTCATTTGGAGATACCAAAGCCYAAGTTTGTTTAAGCAGGCTGTTTTTACATGATCCAAATTCTCCACTTCCCTCTGTCTGCTAGTGGGAGTATTTTACTACAGTGTCTGTCTCAAACCCTGTCCCCTTGGCTTGCACCCTTCCTTCCAGTGATGTCCTGTAAAGAATACAGGTGTGGCAGCAATACTTTGAAGGAATTTCTAAAATCTAGTGGGGGTTAGGGACAGCAGGGAGGAATCTGTGCATAGAGACCACATTGAGGAACGAAATTCTGTTCTTGCTTTTGCAGCCTCCTGGGCTTTGGGCATCTGGCTTTTCACAGAGCTGATGCAGGACTCCCTTATTCTCCCTCTTGAATGCAGTTTCTGCTTTCTGGCAGCATGTTAGATGGTCCAGGAGATAATTAACAAGCCCAGCCATACAGAGAGCTTGGAACATCTGCCAGATTTTAATCACATTGTTATGGAGATAGGGTATGGGAGATGGAGAGGACCTGCATTACTGGAGTCAGATCACACACCAGGTGTTTGTCCCTGCTGCCAAACCAGTGGCTCACAAACAAACCAACAGTACTTATATCCCCTGCTACTCCCAGTGGGACCACATCCAGCAGGTACAAACCTGAGCCACCCCTSAACTGGGAAAGCAAAAAGGGTAAGATACATCTCTTGAAGCACTGCTGATTCAGTAGCCAGGCAGAGGCCACACAGAAATGTGAAAGGAGAAAACTCATTGCGGGTCCATGGACTCAATGCAACAGCAGCTGGAGGGAGGAGAGATCCAGCCCAGGCTCTGTCTGGTTTCTGTGCTTGGCTGAACTGCTGAAGGTGAGGCTGGGAGGATTTTGCCCTCTGCGTCCATGCCTGTGGGATCCTCAGAGTGGCTGTGTGCCTTGTACAGTGAAGGGTTTGCCGTGTCCCAACCGTGCAGCCACCTAAAGAGATTATTTCAACTGCCCAGGTGATACTCAGACAAGTTTGCCATGCTGAAAGGAAGGGGCTCAGTTCTCCTTTCCTGCAAAATGCTCTCAGGTTTACAGCCAACAGYCTGCACCCCACTGGCCCTCCCCTGCTTGTGTTGGCTGACTAACCAAACCAGGAAGATGAGCTCTTGCGGATTTACTCTGAGGGTTTTAAAATTAAAAGCTCAAAAGCTGGAGGATAGGATTTCTGCAGCAGGGACCAGCATAACTACTGCACAATTTTTCAGTCCTTTATATCCTAGAGGGAATTCAGTTTTAGCACCATTTTACAGTTGTATAGATAACTCCCACTTAACRAGCAGAGTACATCAGAGAGTGTTGTATAACTCCAGCTTTGCTTTTTCATTAAATTAATGTTTAGTGTGTAAAGAGTAATGGATTAAGACATGCTCCCTTATACACACATAGACCTTTTACACTATCAATGMCATTGACACATGCAGAACTTTTACATGTTATTAATTCTCAGTTTTAGGGGTCTTGGGGCCTCCTGCCTTGCTGAATTCAAGAAAACTGTTCCCATCTGCTGCCAGAACAGGGCAGGACCCAGAGGGTGTATTATTTTTTGAGGCCCAGACACACTGGGCTGCAGTTCAGAGTAGAGAGGGAGAAGGGTATCAGGTGAAGACAGCCTTTGTCTGGAGAGCTGGATCAGTCTGCTACTGTGATCAGGAAGCTGTGGATTACAACTGAGCTGCCTTGGCAAGGCCATGTCAGGGAATCTTAATGTATCTTCCACTTGCATCATCCCCGGAGCTGGCTACTGCAGTGTAACTGCTTCCTTTCCTGAGTGCAAAGGATCAAACCTGAATCCTGAATCCACAAAACAGTAAACACAGGCAGTAAACACAGCTTTAGAACTGTGACAAAAAAAACCTTCAGATTTTTCACAAGTGACTGTTTCTGGAAAAGCAAAGGCAGTTGTGTGTATGGAATTAACTCCCAAACGACATGCATATGGCCTTTCCTTTTCACAAATCTCAYCCTAGCTTTACTTTGCTCATCTGAGTGAATTTCATCATTGCTAATCCAAAGTGGGTGGAGAGCAGAGTATCTGATCTGGGCTAATGGTTCCATTTCAGTTAGTGATGTGCATTGGCCAGACATTGCAGCATTAGATGCACTTTTAAAATGCAGTGAAAGCACTTGTGTCTAGAAGACTTCAAGGAAACAGCTCTCAAGGGCCTTGGATCTTTTTTTTTCCTTGGAAACATCACTCAGGGCTGTGGCTGACACAGTTCTGGCAGATGAGATCCCAGCCTTCACATGGCATGAGGTGAATATTAACTACAGCTTCATATCACCATTATGCAACAGGGTAAATAGGCACCATCATTCCTGCTGTAGGGGGAGGAAGCCAAGTTTGAGCATAGTTAACTAAAGCCACATGGTAACAGTCATATGGAGCACAGGAACTGCCCCACACCATGCTCCAAAGAAGCTGATGCTCACAGAGATGGACAGACATGAGCTGTGGAGGAGTTGTGGACAGAGGCAGCAATTGTGCCCTCATCTGACAGTGCAGAGCAGCCCAAACACCCTGAGGAGGGTTCCCAGCAGCATCGAGAGGTACATACATTTGGAAAAGCTGTCAGAGGTGCAGAAAGGGTCACCCAGCAGCTTGACACTGCCCTGTCAGAGTCAGGAATCAAAAGGCCAAGGCTGGCAGGCAGGAGAAGCAGGACASTTCAATAGAGAGACAATGAGTGAAATAACGAGGCTGGGTGGCAGATGGGAGTTAACAGCAATCAGCAGAGACCTTGTCCTTGTGCTTTTGTGACTCTTACACAGTTGAAGGTTTGACAAGAACATAGGTCAGTACAAAATATTTACAGCAAGGAGGCATTATTATTCCCTGCTTTGCTGGGATAGGCCTAAATAATGAAGGGAAGCAATCCAAGGCCTTGGACAGATCAAGTGGCAGCAGGAGGAAGGCCAAGGGCTCACAGCTCTCTTGAACACACCTTCAAGGACAAAGTGAAGATGGCAGCAGAGGCAGAAGATGGAGTGGCACTCAGCTGCATCAACACCTACAGGTTTCCATGTCCCATTCCAGCTTCACAGGGAGTGGGACAGGAGAAAGGTTCCCTTTGCCTTCTCTCCACTGCTGGTCAAAAGAGCTTGGGCACAGGGATGG